GCCGCCCTGTTCGTTCACTGGCTGTGAGCCTGCCGTCCAGGCCCCTCCCTACCTGCCGTTGGCTCCCGGCCTTCATTTCCGTGCGCTTCGGGGCCAGCCCGAGACCCCCACCAGGACGCCCGGCCCAGAGTGCGCTGAGCTTTTCAAGGACCCGTGGAGACTTCCTCGGGAGCTGGGACAAGCCTCTCTCCCCTCGGTCCTTGCGTCCCTTCACGGCCGTAGGATACGTGTGACATTCTCTTTCCGTCTGTGGCGTGTGCCTTCTGGACACGGAGGCGTCACTCACGGGCCAGCCGGGTTGTCCCATTCCTGCTCCTGTCCCCAAACTCCCCGAAGGCCCACGCCCTCACCCCCGAAATCCAGAGCAGCTGGTGGCCGGTCCTGCCTGGCCCTCTGGGGCCGGGGCTTGTCCTCTCTTTAGGAGGAAGTGGGTCACTTCTTCCTCCTCCGCCCCCCCCCGCCCCACCCCCATGACCCTTTTCTTCTGTAAATGGGGAGGGCGTGTCCAGTGTGGAGGAGGCTTTTCCCTTGAAGAAACTGCCAGCTCTGGGGGGCGGCATGGCTTCTGTTAGCTGAGCGGGGTTGGCGCTGGTCACGGCGTGGGCCCCAGGGAAGTCGGGTTTCCCCACTGCCTGTTCCGATTGCGAGGTGGAAGTTCAGCAGACTTCCGTTACGAGTCTTCACTCGGTCTGTTGGAAATGATCGCAAACCCGTCGATGCCTGGACCTCTATAATCTGATCAAACACATCGAATGCAATAATCGATGGAGCTAAGTACTCTCCTGTAGAAACCTCTGTTCATTATCTGAGAGCAAACTGACATTTTTAATTTATACTGGGGTGGAAGGCATCTGAATTCTTACTTAGGCTGTGCAGAGGAGACGATAATAGTTTAAAAGAAAAACAAAATGTTCACAGTGAGTCTTTGACCTGAATGAAGCTAGGTGGTATTTTTTTTTTTTTTAATTTTGAGAACACTCTTGGTGCAAATATCAGATAGAGACCTTGTTCTTTTCGTTCCACCTCAGGCTGACTTCACTCGAGACTAGAAACCAGGAGCCCTGCTCTAGTAGCTCAGCTGGTTAGACTGCCGTCCCGATACCCCGAGGTTGTGGGTTCGGTCCCCAGTCAGGGCACATGCAAAAATCGATCAATGAACATATAAATAAATGGAGTTACTGCCCAGTGATCACTCAGCTCACGGAGTACCCCTCAGGTGCTGGCCCTTCAGACACGGGAGGCGCTGGGGAGACGATGAAAGAGACAAATGGGGGGGAGGGAGAGGGCGTTAGCTGGAGCGACTGTTGGCACCGGGGTGTTCGGGCACAGCTCTGACGGGGCGGAGGCATCTGAACGGCTGCAGAGACTCCTGATGAGAACGGGGCAGCAGGGGACAGTGCGGGGGGAGGAGCCCGGTGGCCAGAGTGTGCTGAGTGAGACCAGACAAGACCCTGTCCGGGCTCCGGGCTCCGGGCCCGGCACTGCTGGGTCGGCCGCGGACTGGGACACGGAGGCTGCACCCTGGGGAGGGCGTCGTCCGGGCTGGAGGTGGTGACGGTGGCTCAGGTCCGAGGCAGAGCAGTGGTGACAGACAGCTGTGTGGGGGGAAAGCCGTCCCTTCTGCACACGTGTTGACCATGCGTGTTGGTGGGCACGCCAAATGCCGTTTGAGGCTCTGGGGATGCAAGCGTGGGCCACACAGAAGGTAATGTCCTGTCCTCCTGGGGGTGGGGTGTGGCGGTGGGAGTGGTCGGAGAGGGAGAGGGCGGGAAGAGGGTGGACACGCCCTGGCACTGGGAGGGAAAGACGTGGGCGGCGGGCAGAGGCGCAGGGAGCCGAGGGGGGTGGGGTGCGGTCGAGGGAAGAGCGCCCGAGACGCCCACAGACTCGGGAGCGGCAGCCAAGAGGACTTACCGGGGTGTCGCTAACACCGACACGTGTGAGTCTGGGGGGGCTGTGGTGCCGAGACACCCGTGGGCATTCCGAAACGATCGCAGGAATATTCGCAGACACCCCCAGCCCCTCGCGTGGCTCCGAGTGCTGCGTGAGTGCGGCGGTCACACTGAGGATCTGCTCTCTTCTTTCGCTTTTACGTGTAACGTGTTGCCAGTCCCGGTCGCCGTGCCGCGCCTCAGACCCCCAGGGCTCCCTGCTCCCCGAGCCCCTGGCGCCCACCCCCCTGCCCTCTACGTCCGTGAGCTCAGCTGCTTCGGGCGTCCCGCTCCCGTGAGAGCACACAGGGCTTGCCTTTCTCCGTCCGACACTTCCGCGAGCGTGACGCCCAAGCGCGGGGCTGACGTGGTGCGAGGGGGGGAGAGGAGAACCGGGAGTGACCCTTTGATTTTTGACACGGGCTGTTTGGAGAATGGGGGTGTCACTGACCAGGATCAGAAGCTTGGAGGCGACCCAGGGGTGGGTGGGGGCGAGGGAGCAGACATCAAAGGGCGCCGTGGAGGAGGCAGACCGGTGCTCGACCTCGGGGCGCCGGGGACTTTGGGCCCTGCAGTGTGTGGGTGGCACGGGAGGCCAGGGGTCTGGGCAGGGCGGCGGGGGCCGCCGCAGGGAGGTCCGTGGAGGTGAGGCCAGTGGGCGTGTGGGACCGGACACACGTGGAGAAGGAAGAAGGGTCAGGTGCCTCCGAAAGGGACCCGTCCCCAGGATGGGGACTGCCGTTGGCCGTGGGGGCGTCCCCGGGCGCTCTGCGAGGAGCTCCTTTGCGCTGCGACCGGGGCAGAAGCCCCGTGGCAGGCAGGGGGTCGGAGGTGACCGCTTGGTGAGGATGCTGAGAGCTGGGGCCATCCCCACCCCTTGGGTCAGGGGTGTGACCTCCTACGAGTGACACGGCTTCCCCAAGTCTCTTTCCTCACCCTCCCAGGGGCGCGTGTGTCACCACGAGGTGTGAGACCTCTGTGCAGAGCCCCTCTGAGGCCGGACTGGGCGGAGGCCAATGCTGGCGCAACAGCCTCTGTCCGGCCGGCGGGCGCGCGGTCTCCGGGGCCCGCCCTCTCCCCTTCTCTTCCCTCTTGTTCTGGGGGCTCCGTTTCCTTGTCGGTAAAAGGAGGCCGTGGGACTGAGGGCGGTGTCGAGTTCTAGGTTCTCCGCCCCCGCCCGTGTCCCCCACCCACCCCCACACGCTGTCCAGGTCCCATCTACAGCTGCCACCCGAAAGGGACTCCTCATCTTTTCTCCCCCGTCCACTCCACTCCGACCCTGCCTCACACTGGCCCCCCCATGCAAGGCAGGGCCCCCCCAGGAACCCTCCAGAAGGACTCCAGCCTGGGGAGGGGCCCCGGTCCCGGAAGTCCTCATGCCCACCCGCGACCTCCATCCCTCACGCTCCAGCAAACACGTTTGCTCCACCCGTATCTGCGTCTCTGCGTCCCTTATCGGGGGATCTGCCATCCCCTGAACCCGTCTCTGGCCGCGGCGCCCAGTTTTAAATCCCCCCCCACCCCCCTCCGCCACGGAGGAGCTTCCCTGGGCGCTCGGACTCGCTCTCTACAGGGCGCTCCCGGCTGCCCCTCGTGTGTCCTGCCCAGCTCAGTTCAGTTCGCACCTGGAGCGGGCGGGGACGGCGTGCCCAGCCCCGTCTGCCCCGGTCCCCCCAGACCCCAGCTGCCGGTCACGGGCCCGAGTGCCCGGCCTTCACCGTGAACCTCCTCCGCAGGGGCCGTGCGGCTCCCCCTGCATGGTGCCTGTCGGGCGTTTCACGCACCCGTGAACTGCACCCGTCGGAGAACCTGGTTCCGTCCGAGAAGCCCTGAGGGCAGGCGTGGAGACCACGGAACCCTAGGAAAGGAGCGTAACCAAGGGCTGGTGTGTGTGTGTGTGTGTGTGTGTGTGTGTGTGTGTGTGTGTGTGCATGTGCGTGGGCGTGGGCAGAATTTAAAAAATAAAACCCAGCCTTCCATTTTACCTGGAACCTCCCCAATCTGCCTACGCCTTGGGCCGTCAGTTCCACGCCTGGGGGTTTCTCGCGAGAAAGTAGTCCTGGGTGTTACTGGTGGAGAGCGTCCCCAGGACGTGGTTTGTGATGTCGACAACCGGAGGGAAGCTAAGTGTCCAGCGGACGGGGACTGGTTAAAAAGAGAAAAGGGAAAACCTCGTGGTGCATGTTCATGGCCTGAATCACTGTTTGTTCTTTAAAAACGACGGTTTAGGAGGACATTGGTTGACGCGGTAACGTGTGAGTGGAGGAGGAGCGTTTGAAAACGGCGTACCATGGTGTGATTTCCTTGGCCTTAAGTCACTCTCAGAGCAAGGATCGCTGGTGTGGGTGGCAGAAACAGTGATCGTCTGTGGCTGTTGAGATGACGGGCGATTGCCATGATCTTTTTGCTGTCTGTGACTTAACCTTTTAACAGGAGGCCACGTGGACTAAGTGGGGATCGTATCCTTCCTCTGGGCATGCGGACGGCCTGTTCTTCACCTTTCTGGCACGTCAGCCTTGGTGGCTGCGTTTGTGTGGTGCTGGGGAGGCCTGCCAGCCCGCTGGCCCGCCGGCCCGTGTCAGCAGGAGACCTGGGGGTGTGCTTCTCTGGGTCCGAGCCTCCCAAGTCACGGGAAGGGGGCGTCTTCAGGGTGGGCCCTGCTGCTGGGTGTCTTTGAGGCTGGAGATAGCAGGAAGTCATGTTCATTGACCGGGGGCTGGAGGTCTGCAGCCGTGGGGTGGTCTATGGCCTCGGGCCGGCCTGGATCGCACCCTGGACCCTTGCGTGTGCTCCCGTGCGGCCCTGAACTCTGGTGGCAGGATGGGGGCGGCATCCCCTCAGGGGAGGGGGCACTTCCCGAAGGCCAGCGGCCTGGCGAGTGACCCAGACAGGCAACCTGCCGCCACACCTCACGGTCGCCCGCCGCACGAAACCGGTCTCGTTTCCTAATGGTCACCTACTAGGCGTTCTGAAAGCGGACCGCCCCGTGGGTTGGGAAACCGATTCCCAAGTGCCTCCCCGTTCACTGACATGTGTCCCGCCCCCGCCCGCCCTCTTGTGTCCCCGCAGTCTGCGGCCCCGGCATCGACATCCGCAATGACTACCAGCAGCTGCGGCGCCTGGAGAACTGCACGGTGATCGAGGGCTACCTGCACATCCTGCTCATCTCCAAGGCCGAGGACTACCGCAGCTACCGCTTCCCCAAGCTCACGGTCATCACCGAGTACCTGCTGCTGTTCCGCGTGGCCGGCCTGGAGAGCCTCGGGGACCTCTTCCCCAACCTCACGGTCATCCGCGGCTGGAAGCTCTTCTACAACTACGCCCTGGTCATCTTCGAGATGACCAACCTCAAGGACATCGGGCTGTACAACCTGCGGAACATCACCCGGGGGGCCATCCGGATCGAGAAGAACGCCGACCTCTGCTACCTGTCCACGGTGGACTGGTCCCTCATCCTGGACGCGGCCTCCAACAACTACATCGTGGGCAACAAGCCCCCGAAGGAGTGCGGGGACCTGTGTCCGGGGACGGTGGAGGAGAAGCCCCTGTGCGAGAAGACCACCATCAACAACGAGTACAACTACCGGTGCTGGACCACCCACCACTGCCAGAAAAGTAAGAGAGCGACGCCCACCGTGGCGTCCCTTCAGCTCCTCCCCCTTCCCTCCTGCTCGCCCTCCCCCCCTCCCTCCCTCCCCCCTGCCAACTCTGAATGCACAGCTCCCCTGGGCCAGTGGGGTATGCCTGCATTTGGGGCGTGGCTTGCCTGCCTTGGAAGTGAGGGTCTTGGCTGGCTTCGGGTAGCTTCTGGGACCCCAAGGGGTAAATAAAGGCCACTGTGGTTGCCGACAAGGCCATTCAAACCATAACTAGCAGCGACGCCTCGCCCTCCTGGGCCAGCAGCCTGCTGACCTTCCGCTTTGAATTCCCACTGGGACAGGGGGTGTGGTGTGCCCGGAAGCACCTAAGCCCTTACCTATCAGCCCTTCCATCCTTTGCATGGAAGGGTATTATTGGCGTGGCGGGCCTCCCTGAGCGTGACTGTAGTTGGAAGGTGTTTGAATAAAGGGAGAAAGGAAAGACCTATTTCACCTTCTGTGAAAGTGCGACCTCCACCCTGTCCGTGGTCCCTAGAGGTTTAGCTGACGCGATGCTGAGGTGTCCGGGTTCACGAGGAGCACCAGCCGAGGCCGGGCGAGCCCTGGGCCAGCTGCCAGGAGTCCCGGGGGGAGTTCACGGTCCTATCAGGGGGTGGTGTGCGTGTCCCCCCGGGCTTCCGTTTCCTCTCTGTTTTCCCCATCTTTTCCGAAGCGTCGTGCAAATCTCCTGAAAGCACTCCAGTGAAAAAGCTTTGCAGTGTGATCTCGGGGTGGGGGGGATCTTGAAGCTGCCCGCGTGTTTTTCTGCCCTCAACCTGTTTTTCCCTCTGCACGGCGGAGGTTGCCTGCGTGGGATCGGCACCTGGCGAGCTGGGTTGCTTGGTCTTAAAACGCGACTCTGGTTCCTCGCCCTTCTGCTGCTTTCGCCAGAGTTTAGGTCCGCCGGCCAAGGAGGTTCCGCTCACTGGTGGGAAGGCAGCATGGCAGCTATAAATAGCTGTTATTAAGGAGTGGCCAGTGAAAGGCCCGGGAAGCGTCCACTCACAGATAGCCAAGAAATCCCAGGTTGGTAGGCTTGCCTTGCACCGCCCGCAAGTCCAAGGCCAGACCCCACAGGTAGCTGTGGTTCTGATTGCCCTCTGGCCAGGGCCGGAGTGGCGCCGGGCGCTGTCTCTGACCCGGCCCCGACGTGCGCGCTCTGTGGCTCCATCCGTGTGCACGTGAGTGTTTGGTCCGTCGGGGGCTCAGGGGCCCCTGCTGGCTGCTGCCCGGCCCCTCGCACAGGCCCCTGTTGGCCCGGGTTGGAGGGAGGCGCCGGCTGGAGCCACACTCAGAATCGGTCAGAACGGGGCCCCGGTCATGAGATCACATGCTGGTTTGAGGAAGCCACGTAGTCGGTTTCTGGGTAGCCTTGACATGTAAAACTGTTATCTCAGAAGAAAACAGCAGCATCCTGTGCGGTGGGAGGACCCCTGACGGCGTCGGTGTGAGAGGCCCGGGCGCCCAGGCCTGTCGGGAGTGCCCCTCAGGGCCACCGCGGTGGCGTTTGCTTTGGTCTCACTGTGGGTTTGTGCCGAAGAAGCCGGCAGCAGGACGGAGGGCGTTTCAGCGTCCGACGGGCTTCCCCGTCTGCCCTCCGCCGGCCTCTCGTTTCCCTGCTCTCCCCTCTCTGGACGGGCAGCGTTCTCTCCCCCCGGCCCCACGTCAGAAGTGCGCGGGCATCCCTAGGATGCGTCCTTCTCCGGCTGGACGCCAGGCCCCTTCCGCCTGAAGTGTGCTTCTCTTGCGCCCTCCTCTGCCGTCCCCTCTGCCGGTTCCCTGGCCTGGCCCTTCCTCAGCCGCCCCGCCTCCCCCTGGTGGCCCAGTGACCTGCCCAGCACGTGCTGGGACCGACAGGCTCCTCCGTCCGGAGTCCCGTGGGGTGAGCACCTGGCCCGCCTCTCGGGCCCTCGGTTTCCCGCTCCTGTGGGCCACACAGCCTCCCTGTCTCCGCCTGCCACCGTGTCCTCGGTCCCTGAGGGTGCTCCGTGCAGACCAGCCGGCCACCACTCACCGGGCAGACTTCCTGCCTGCCAGGCTGACCTCCAGCCTCGCCTTCTCCGCCCGGAAGCCTTTGGGACTCTGCAGGCTGCAGGGCACCTGGCAGCGGCCCTTCCCGCACCGCGGAGTAAATCCTGGGCGCGTCCTCCCACTCAGAGGGCACGGCTGTCACCCCAGGGGCCAGCGCGGCACCTGCTTTGTGAAAGATTTATTGTCAGGAAGATGCGTCTCCCCTCCTCGAGCAGGGAACAGTGTGTAATAGCAGCCCCGAGTGAGCCAAAAGACTCTAGGATGAGGAGATGCGGTGTTTCCCGGGCAATGTTCACGGTCATTGCTACCCAGGAGCCCTGTCTCCACCGTCTCCAGCTCTTAGCCGGAGCGTCAGCTGCGGGTGGCAGCTCCTCTCTCTCCTGCACTTGTTGGAAGTGTTCAAGGCCAAGGATGCTGGATAAATAGGAAAATCGTCTTAAAAGCTGAGGCTTGGCCCGTGGCGCTGCTCACTGCTTTGTGCAGCAGTTGTTTGCTGAAGGCCAGCCACGTCCAGGGAGGGACAGGGAGGATCCAGGCAGAGGACCTGGTTCTCTCGCTTCCTGGTGAACTCACCCATGTGGTGCTGCTGTTTGCTTTGCTTGCCTTGGGTGCTTTGTGGTGCTTTAGTGCCTTACTGCTCACCTGAGTCCCCAGGTGCTTTGGAACCCATCGGGCAGCCCGTGGGCAGCCCCCATCCTGGCATTGCCCATGAGGAGGAAGTCCACGGAGGCTGTGAGCCCAGCCGTGGTGGGAGCCGCCTCCCCCAGTGCCGTGGGCTCATCCCCATTAGAAGCACATGGACTGGGGCGGCCCCAGAGGTTGTCCCATCTCCTACCGCCCTCGATCAAGGAGAGGCCAGGAGGATGGCCGGAGGGAGCTCACGAGCACAGGAGCAGGCGGTCACGGCTCCCTTCTCCGACGAAGGGGGCCGTCTCACTGCCGTCTCGCCGAGGAGAGGGGGACTTAAAACGCAGGCCAGGGTGTGAAGACGAGAATTCTATTGATCCATCCCCACCGTCCCCCCGAGGTTCTCCCGTTCTTGGCTCGCGAGGGCCGTGTTGGGGTGTGCAGAACAGTTTCTCCACTTCCTCACTTTCTTTTTTTTTTTTTTTTTTAAGATTTTACTTATTTATTTTTAGAGAGGAAAGGGAGGGAGATAGAGAGAGAGAGAGAGAGACATCAATGTGCGGTTGCTGGGGGCCGTGGCCTGCAACCCAGACATGTGCCCTGACTGGGAATCGAACCTGTGACACTTTGGTTTGCAGCCCGAGCTCAATCCACTGAGCCACGCCAGCCAGGGCAAACCTAGCCAGCGTCCACTACGGAGTGGAGCGCTAAAGACTTCCTCATTTTCTTACAGATTGGCGCGCCTGGCTGCCAGGGGAAGCAGGTCACTGGTTTGTAAGTCACCTGCTGGGTTGGGGCGAGATCACGGGGCGCAGGGTCTGTGCCCTGAGACCCCACGTGTGTGGGATGTGCCTTACTCCGTCTTCACATCTCTCCTCTTCTCCCTCCTCCTTTAAAAAAAATGTTTTTTTTTTTTAAGTTACGGGTGAGGGATGTTTCCTTTTGTGCAACACCCCCAGGCTGCCGTAAGCCTGGGCCCTCCAGACAGTCCCCGGGGCCGCCTCTGGCTTTGCGTTATCGGAAGGAGCCTGCTGTCTCCCTGCCCCTGGAGGCCCCTGCTCCGGTCAGCTGCTCCCAGCGTGGGGGATCTTTATTTAGAAGGGGGTCACGTGCCCTGGGGCCTCGTTTCTCTGCCTTTTATAGTCAAGCATGGAGCTCGCATTCTGGCCTCCCCGGCGGCGGTCCACTCCTGTTACCACGATGGTGACGCCGGCGTGTGCCCTTGTGTTTCTCTGGGCCACCCGCGGCGGAGTTGCTGGGCCTTGTGCTCCCCGAGAGGCTCCGTTCATGGCTGGCTGTCACCTGGTTCAGGCGTCCCTCTTCCGGGCATCCCTTCAGAAGTTTGTTTGAAAGTGGGGATCTCATCGTAGACGCGAACAAGCTTTCAGAACAACGCCCCTTGGGCGATGTGTGTGTCCCAGGTGTTTGGTAACAACACCCTGGGGTCCCTTCCAACCCCACCAGTCACACCCGCGTGTAACAAGATGTATCTGGTTGTTCCCTGCGCCTAAGAAGCCTCTCTCTTGTGTTGTGTTAACATCTCTGTCCGGCTTGTCTTATGGGTGTGCCGGGGTGGCATTCTCGACTACTGCAGGGATGACGGGGGGCGTGCGGGCCCACGTCCCCTGCCCTGTGGCTAATCTCGTCCTGGATGGCGTTGCTCCACTCGAGGGCGTGGGGTGGTCCCACGGTTAGGTCTGCGCTGGTGGTGGAGACACGTCTCCCCCGAGCACGTGCGGGCGCTCGGGGACGCAGGCCCCGGGAGGCAGGGTCTTCGAGTGCCGTCCGAGGATGGAACGCCCTCCGGATTCGGAGGAAACGGGACCCAGCCAAGGCATCCAAGGAATGCCGGTGGCAGGCGATTTGATCTTTCTGTCTGTGACACACAGGATGTTGCACAGAGCGGGCACCTGTCCCGGTGCCTGGCTTGGGAGTCTGGGTGGAGGAGGTGTAGAGACCCTGTGGAGGGAGGAACCCCACCTGAGGGGGCTTCTAAACTCTGAGCCATGCGGGGTTCGCATCCGTGTCTGCTGCTGGGTGCCTAACGCACGACTGTGAGCTGGGCGCTGGGGTGTCGCCTGGTTCCAAATGGCCTCGCCTCTCGGCCACTGGAGAACCAGCCGGTCTGAGAGCCCGGTGACCGTGGGGACTGCGTCGCAGGAGTGGGCAGGGGGGCTGAGCGGGTGTCCACCTGCGGGGGGACGGCTGTCACCTCGAGTCAAAGAGTGAGGGGGGCCTCCGGGGCTGGTGGGAAGAGCTGAGCCACGGGCAGGGCCCAGGGGCCGGGCGAGACCATGCGTCTCCCCGGGCCGCAGCTGT